TTAATCATTAATACTTACATGAGCGATAGGTTTTGTATTTCCTGTAGTAAATATGATTGCTATTGAAAAGTATTTTTCTTGCATAATATTCTTATTATTTTGTAATAAATATACAATATCATAAAAAGACGTAAAAAATAAATTATTTTATTAAGAAATTTTATGTATAATTGTGTATGTGCAGAATATACAATATTATAAAAAGACGTAAAAAATAAATTATTTTATTAAGAAATTTTATGTATAATTGTGTATGTGCAGTGTTTTCATAGGAGAAAAATAAATACAAAATAAAAAATATATTGAAAAAATCTATCAAAACTATGGACGGGGATAAAACTCCGGGTCCTCTAGGATAGCAATTCTCGAGCGTCGTCGTTACGCAACAACTTAACTTGAAAGATATTAGAAATAAATGTATAATTAAGGAAGTAATAAAACTTTAATCGCAAATATCTAAAAAACTATTGAGTAGTTGTGGCTATAATGATATATTTTCTTAAACTGCATCGATATTGTGCCATCGATATCTTGGAAATATTTCAGAATCGATACATATAAATCGATACGAATCATATCAGTGTGACACCTTACCGAGTGTTATACTGCAGCGCATGGCATCTCAACCGTGAGTTTATTGGTAGCGCAAGTGGTTAAAAGTGGGCCTCCTTTGTTAATCCGGGGTGTAGATCAAGTGGATCGCCGCTTCGTTTCGAAAGTCCGATCATCACTGCTGCGTTTTCGTCACACATGCTACCTTATCGGTAACTTCAACTGGCATACTCTGGCATACTCTTATAATGTGTAAGTTAATTACTGGTTTTGTCTTTCTACCTAACTGTTACCCTTTGTACTACAAGTGAAGTTGTGCATGACTGCCTCAGTATGTGGATCAATATTGTATAAAATAATCTACTTCACAGACAGTTTCGTTAAGTGTTACCGTCTGGAATATCAACACTGTTGCGAGATTACTTCCCTTTGGATCTGCATAATGTTATAGTCTACTCCAATGTATAATAGAATCCGTAATCACTACTGACAATAATGTAATCTAGAGTACTTCTATACGGAAGATTGCTAAGGGTTACATTGTCATTACGAGCTTCACGTAGAATCACTTAACAAACATCTCGTTAGTACGTTGTTGGATGACTAACGATTCGTTGGCCCTTAGTCACTAGAAGGGCCTGGTTGATAAACGCAGACCAATTTCAGAGTCCAAAAACAATTGACTCATTCCTACTTTCACTAAGGGCCAATGGTCATCTTCACCAAACCAAAAACTAACATTATATAAGAACTAGAACTCGTATTGTATATTGAAATCCGGGTTCCAACAACGTGAGTAAATATACACTCCTCCGAAGCAATATAATAACATTGTGCGCCTTCAAAGCAGATATCACATGAATCTATTCTATCGAGTGAATTCGATCGTTGCACAAGATAAGTCCTTCGAAGTAATGGCGAAACGACTGAGTCCAGAGAGTGTTATTCAGTTTGTTCGGTTCAGCGTAGCTCTAACCTTGTGCTGGCCACTTCGTTCTAACAGCAGCAAGAATCGTGTTTATTGTTACAAAGTTCTACAATTCGCTCATGCTGTTAATACTACCATCATTATGTCAATTGCGTTGCACTCTGCGTATCTACATTTGAGCGATTTCGTCAATGTCTCTAGGATTATTGCTGTGTCACTTGGTATGGGTCAAATGATCATTACGACTCTCATATGCATTTCCAAGCACGAGTCCCTGCAAGTAAGTTCCGAATTGTATTATTGCTGAGTTGTAATAGCATAAGTATCCGTATCTCTGCCCACTTTAAAGATTCCTTATTCGCTAATTCGTAGGCACAGGTCCGCGACGTGCTGTCAACGTCAATTTTTATTTTTGTTTGCGTGATATTCGATACACCGGGACTCAAAGTATAAATAAACCAGGACAGAAGAATGTAAATAATGCAAATTCTTTTTTTGCTCGCTAGGCATAGTCTAATATCGCGTCTTATACGAGATGGTACAGCTGTAACTTCACTGAGACATGTCTACTTTCTTATTTTCTTTTAACGCATAAGTTCATTATACGACATAAACGTATCTCATAAACGTCATATTTATAATTATCGTTTGTTATTGTTTGATTTTCACGCATAGTTTATTTCTGTCAACTATTTTATTTATGAAAATCACGAATCACCTGTACAGATAATCGATCAGACGTGATCGGAGAGTAAAATCTTTAAAGTGGGCATTATTGTCCTAAATTTCCATGTCTGCTGATATATCTTTTAATAACGAATTGCAGTATATAATAGAAGACATGGAAGCATACATGAGAGAAGCACAGCAATATGAACGGGAAGTATTCTACAAGTATATCGCGAAGGGCCACAAGTTTTACGGAAGTTGTATAATACTGATGTATACGACTTCAACTATATTTTTGTTAGGTCCTACGGTCCTGCCGATTTCTTTGCCACTTGATATCGAGTATCCATTTCCCGTCAACAGTACTGCGTTATATGTTACGTTATACTTACATCAAACAGTCATCACCTACCAATGCACTGCGCTATTATGTCTTGGCGGATTTGGGGCTCTTATGCTTTGGTACACAACCGCTAGATTCGAATGTTTGGCGATAGAGTTTCAGAAAAGTTCAAATGTCGATACGATGGTCGTTTGTATTAAGAAACAATTATTGTTAATGAGGTAAAGATACTATTCCGCAAAGCGTGTTTCACTCACAGGCTAAATTGATAAACTCTACATTTCGAATTTTCACACGTACTGGCGTAGCCAATGCGGTAGTGTAATCAATTTTTGCAAATATCTCGGAAATTAAGGCCAAGCGACAATTATCGTTCAGATAAAAGTCCTTCGGAATCTCGTCCTCTATAACATGTTCAAAAATCATAGGGATCGACTGACGCATTCTGCAGTTTTTAACAATTTTATGTTTTTTGTGAAAAAACTAGTAAAATAAAGCCTTTTGTGAAAAAACGGAAACAAAGACGCATTTAGGGCAAAGCCGCTAAACTGCATATTTACCAAGCTGAATTATTTATGTATAGGATGTCTCAAAAATCATGGAGCAATCGGTTGCGTAATAAATCCATATGCAAAAATTGGTGTGAATTATTACTTGGCTAGTTGTGCCACGATCTTCGGGACACTTTATATTTAAAATAAGTTTATAGTTTTTATACGATGTAGTAAATCGATTTGGAAAATGTGAAGTTCATTTAGCCTTTGGTGTAGCATATAATCCTACCGAATATTGTTCCTCTGGTTTTAGTTACGCCGAAAATGTTGCTACTACTATCCGCTTTATAGCCTTCGGTGCTGTAGCTGGGAGCACAGGTATTCTAATTCTGTGTGGTATGATCATGATTTTGGTAAGTACAGTAGTTCCTTAGAAATTGAACGATCATATTTATTTAAGATACAGTATGGCATGAAATAGTAGCACATACTATAATTTTCAGTATTTGTTACAATCATGGCGATATACCGGATGTTCGCGTTAACTTACACTAGCGTTTCTCTTTTTCTTTTTCTTTGATAATCGGTAAACATCAGAGAAAAACGAAAGTGGAAATAATTGTCATATATTTTATTGGCACGAGAGTACGATATCCTAATTTATAATATTGTAGGAAAGGAATAAGCAAGGCCTTGAAAGAATGCTAAGAGTGTTTGGGCTTAGAACAAAAGTGACCGCGTGCAAGAGGATCGAATGTAAGACATGTTTATGACAGTCGAATGCAAGTGTCATGTAAAATGAGTATTAAACGGGAAAAAACCGGTAGCAGTTGGGTCGTAGCTCAAGAGCTATCTTTCTTTGATATAATCCTTTTTTTTATACACTTTATTATGCTAGATGTTACAATGTTCGTACAATGGATCGGCGTTATGGCGTTAAATGTCACATCAAGACTGAAGAGTCTTGTTTTCGGAGGGTTCTATATATTAAAATCTTATCGGTGGTTGACTCAGACTGAAGTCATGAAGTTAGTCATGTTTAGTTATGACTAATTGGGACTTTGGGCCGTTACACGAGCGAAAGCGTGTATTAAAATGAGATTAATCTTGCGTATACCACGGTCTCAAGGTCATATAGTGTCAGAGAAAAAGTTAACGTTTTGAAATATCGTATTTATTAGCACGTTATATTCATAAGACTATATTATTTTGCACTATAGCTCCAAGCGCCAATCGCAGAGACACCATTAGAACAAGTATTTCTTGCATATAGCCTGACAAATTTTGACGATCCGATTTATTTACAGAATTCTTCGGTAATTGTGAAAGTACAGTTCATCGGCGTAATTATGACGGTACTCACAGAAGTTTATATGTACACGTGGCCAGCTGATCACATGAAAGATACGGTAAAGTATGTTTATATTATAGGAATGTTAAATGAATAGCGTTTGAAATTTACGTGTATCATTGTCTGAAGATGAATTTTTTTTATTTTAGAGCGAAAATTTGTCACGAAGTGCATATGACATAACTTGGTACAAGCAATCGGTACGGATGCAAAAGGACATACTGAACATTTTGGTATATCAGAAGCCAGTGGTAATTTCTATCCGCTGCGTAATGCCTGAACTAACTCTGGAGTACTTTTGTTCGGTAAGGAAAATTTATCTTCGTATGTCGATCGAGACAAGTAGTTTCCGAATGAAGAATTGATAAATTTATGATATTTTGTTTATGATAATTCGTTGTATTTCGTTTCAGTACTTGTCAAATGCATTCTCCATTTTCGCCAGCATGCGCACTCTGCTGATGAATAATTGAGCGACAGTGCTTTATAAATGTTGCATTGATCGGACATGGAAATTCTCGTATGTACCTAAAATGAAAATATAGTAGTGACCGTAGACACGTGGAAATTCCAACATTAGAAAAGCGTTGGACACTCTATGTTGCTGAAAATAAATATTAAAAATAGATACTTGTTATAATACACACATGAACGAGCAGCGGTCACAATAGTTATTACACGTACAGATGAGCAGAATGCCAATCTGATTGTCTTTTCCAAAGCAAGGAAATCCTGCAAGAAAAGCAAAATATTTATCTTGGAACAATAAAAATACTCCACTTGCAATAAGAGAATAAACACAAAAATTATGGTATAACGATGTGATTAGTTCATCTACTTAAACCAACCAAAATACTACAGTAGTGTCTATGTTACGAATTCTCCTTGACAAGCATCTATGTAATCGTCAAATTTTAACCCTTTGCACTCGAGAGGCGACTCTCAGTCGCCATTTAACACGTAAAGTGTCACACCGCACTTTATTGGGGGAACCTTGGTCCCCAGGGACCAATGCTAGATTTTCCGTTTAGGCCCGGTCGATCCTAAGTGACCGGCCAAAACTAGGATCAAAAGGTGCTAACTTTTGGTGTTAAATTTGATGTCATCTTTGGATTTAATGTTTGGGAATTCCTGTTATAACAATTGATACAGTATCTCCGAGTTTTATGAATACTTAACTTGCCACCGGTGGGCCTCTTGACGGCCGAGTCTGGGCCTGAACGGAACGGCAAGCAAAACGGGCTGGGCACTTAACGTGTTAATCAGATTCTAAAGACTGTTATTAAGTAACTCTTTGCGCTCGACTATTTTTTGGCTAAAGAAGGGTACGAGTTGAAAAATTTTCCGTCATAAAGCTGATGATATTTTTTGAGCAGTAAGTAAGAAATCATATATATAATAATTAACACGTAGAATTATTTAATTTCGATACCTCGCACACTGTTACATTATTCCAAATTTCATATACACCTAATTCTGTTTTTACACGATAGATACGTTCCCGAAGAATACGTGTAAAAAGAATTCGTATAAAAAAATATATTGCATCTATGGAAAAATAGAAGATTGGTTCCAGTCTTAAGAAATCAGCAAAAATAATACAATAAACCATAAGTTTTCATGCTAGGATTTTAAACATTTTATTTCATAAAGATTGCACATGTATCGTACAAAGTAAATTATCATTTGAAAAGGAAAAATACATCGCTAATTCGTGAACACAAAAATTAGGCAAGATAATATGAGTTACACGTAAAAAGATTATATTCGTTGTCACTTTCTGACAATAAACGCATACGTTTGCGTAAGACTGTAATATTACTGCTATCGCTAGAAATGTTTTGGTTATCGCCTTCGTGCTACATTGGTGAAATTCTTTCTGTAATCTCTTGAACAAAATTAGGACTAGCCTCCTGCGATGCCGATGTTTCAGTGGATTTAAGAACGAATTCAGTAATTAATCGTTGTGTTTGTGTTTTGGCTAGGCCAAAAATTTAGGTCGATCGTGTTAAATCAAAATAAGTCGCGTAAAAAAAGAATTAAATTTTTTTCCTAATTCGTGTTAAATCAAAATCGTGTAAAAGAAGTCCGTGTAAAAACAGAATTGGGTGTATTAATTAATACATTGCGTACGGCGCCTTGTGCGCTCAAAGCATCCTCAAACATCGCACATTTTTGAACACCCTAGAAGCATGCTTGGCAAGCAATACGTTGCATATATACAAATTTTTAATTTAAAATTGGTAATATATTCACATAAAGTATTCTTAGATATTACTATATACCCTAAACATCGATTTATTATATAAAATTTTATACATTTTAACTAATATTTATCTCACAAACTTCAATAATGCTTTAGAATGTGATATCTGGTAAAGCATACTCTTTTGTGCAATGTTGTTTGGCACCAGATTGAAAATGTAAATGATTTTTAAAAAACTATTTCCGTACAAATTTGCACATATATATCGAAATAACAAAATGTACAACAATAAAACACTTTATAAGGTGCGGTAAACAATCCTCGCAGAGCTACCGATGTACTGGCTATACTGATTGATTGTTTATTTTGCTTATCATTTGTCACAAGAATGTGCAAGGCTTCACAACCCTGGTAACGTAACAAAAAAGTTTGTCTCTGGTTGCCTAAGTCACAGATTCAATCGAAAACAGCTGAAAACGAGATATCCCGTGACTCGCACGCAATGTGTTAATATCGAGCTTCGAAATTTTATCGAATGGCGACCGAAGGCCGCCTCTCGAGTACAATGGGTTAATATCTCGAATTTAAAATTGCCTACGCTTTTAATATCGAGGTAAAATAATCCTACGTTTTACAATTAATTTGCACTCCTTATTTACCGTTTTGAAAATATCGTCGACTTTATGGTAGAAAGTGTTCTAATTATTATATTTCTGTAACGAAAAGATCGTTGAGTGCAAAGGGTTAAAAGCTCGCACACTCTCCAATATTTATATCATATGCTGCACTGATTCTACTTACTATCTTGTATCAATCGTTATTTTCCCGATATCTTCAAATATTGACATCCTCCTTCACTGGCTGCTTCATGCTCGATTAATCGGTGACCCCGACAGAGAACAAAAACGCAACCTTCTACCAACAAGGATGGAGATACATGAAGACCCGTCGAGACTTCATAACCCTTCTCCTAGGATGACCAAGCAGAAACGATGCCCGAGAAGGATGACCTCCTCTTGTAAGCAGGACGCGATGGCCGTCCTAGGACAGCAGAGTTACGGCTATAGCAGGCTCCGAGAGCAGTATGGCTTGTCTGCAAATACAGTTCAGCGATTCAATTGTTTGGTGACCGACACTGACAGTCAGTCTGCCAGTTAACATGTTGAGTGCGGCGCCGATTTTGCTATACCTTCCGCTCAGGCGGCAGCGAGTAAGCACTAAATGCCGAGCGCTCAAGTATGCCGAAGAGTATGAACAGAAGATTATTTTGTTTCACTTTGTTGTTTGGACTGTGAGAATGGTGCAATCAACGCATAAATGTACAAATTATAAACAGAAGATAATGGGGTGGGCAATGCCAGAAAGGACAAAAGGCGATCATCAAGAGACGATCAGTTAGAAAAAACCACGGAAGTGTAAGGATTTACTTCAGCAGAGGGAATTTAGTTTTTACAATATATTAATTGTCATTAATAATTTAACCTCTGACAATGCCGGTCTCGCACACCCATGTCGATCAAACGAAAAGTTCGCTGTCAGTCCCTAGAATCCACGCCGTCCAAACGAAAAGTTTACTGTCAGTCCCCAGGGACTGACGTAGCACTGAACGTGTTAAGTGCACCAACTGCAAGCAGTAGACTCATCGGTCTGTCCATCCTTGCAATCCTAAGATTTTTTTCATCACTGGCAGAAGGGTAATGTAGCATCATCATTCTCATTTTCTTCACTAAATGGATTCCAGATTCAAGAAAGTTCGAGGATTTTCCCGCAAGTCTTCGGTAAACATTCCACTTCCTACACATAGAATTTCTAGACTTTTCAATAGTACCTCCCTCAAAGATACAGTCTGCTAGGTAGCCTTACTGATGAGTCCACTAATAGGCCCAAGACGAAACGCTGAATCCCTTCCTTCTCCTTTCGTCCCTTCTAGCACTGACGTCACATCGAAGATACTAGTCGCATCAATCGACTTCAGCAACTGTGGGGGAAGGACACTTGCAGCAGTAATCAATAAGTATAGAAATGTCCGTATTGCACAACAAAGTCAACGAGACTAACAGCCTTAATCGATAGTCGCTTATGTAAGTTAATTGCTGTTTTCGTCTCTTTATCTAACATTTACCCCCTGTAAGTGATACAAATAAAGTTTCGCATGACTGGCTCAATATTAGGATTAATATGTATGCAAAATGAACTACTTCACAGGAAGTTCCGATAAGTGTTACCTTCAGGAATATTTATTGTTTCGAGATTATTCCCATTGCATCTGTATAACAGTATAGACTGGATCCATGTATAATAGAATCTACAATCACTACTGTCGAAATAATAATGTACACTGCTGAACTTCTACATTGAAGTTTGCTACCGGGAGATTGTTATTACTTGCTGTGCGAGGTATAATTATACAAATTGCACAAGGGAGCATCTGCGAATATATACTAGCTTATGAATCAATATGACAACACGATTTCAAACCGGATACTCAAAGCATAACGATTTATTCTATTGAGTGAATTTGATCGTGGCACAAGATAAGTTCTTCGAAGTAATGGCGAAACAACTGAGTCCAGAGAGGGTTATTCAGTTTGTTCGGTTCACTAACCTTGTGCTGGCCACATCGTTCTAACAGCAGCAAGAATCGTGTTTATTGTTACATAGTTCTACAAGTCGTTAATGGTGTTAGTACTATCGCCCTTATGATAATTACGTTGCACTCTGTGTATCTACATTTCAGCGATTTCGTCAATGTCTCTAAGCTTATTACTATGTCATTTGGTATGGGTCAAATGATCATTACGACACTCACATGCATTTTCAAGCACGAGACCCTGCAAGTAAGTTCCGAATTGTATTATTGCTGAGTTGTAATAGCATAAGTATCCGTATCTCTGCCCACTTTAAAGATTCCTTATTCGCTAATTCGTAGGCACAGGTCCGCGACGTGCTGTCAACGTCAATTTTTATTTTTGTTTGCGTGATATTCGATACATCGGGACTCAAAGTATAAATAAACCAGGACAGAAGAATGTAAATAATGCAAATTCTTTTTTTGCTCGCTAGGCATAGTCTAATATCGCGTCTTATACGAGATGGTACAGCTGTAACTTCACTGAGACATGTCTACTTTCTTATTTTCTTTTAACGCATAAGTTCATTATACGACATAAACGTATCTCATAAACGTCATATTTATAATTATCGTTTGTTATTGTTTGATTTTCACGCATAGTTTATTTCTGTCAACTATTTTATTTATGAAAATCACGAATCACCTGTACAGATAATCGATCAGACGTGATCGGAGAGTAAAATCTTTAAAGTGGGCATTATTGTCCCAAATCTCAAAGTTTGATGATTGTAGTATGTAACAGAAGTCATGGAAGCATATATTAAAGAAGCACAGGAATACGAACGGGAAATATTCTACAAGTATATCGAGAAAAGCTTTACTTTTTATAAAGGTTCCATATTACTGAGCTACACGTCTGCAACTATTTTCTTGTTAGGATCTCTCGTATTTCCGATTTCGTTGCCACTCGAAGTTGAATACCCATTTCCGATTAATAATACGGCTGTGTATGTTTTCTTATATTTTCATCAGTCACTGGTTATCTATCAATGCACCGCACACACATGTATTGTAACATTTGTGGCTCTTATACTTTGGTACACGGCTGCCAGATTCGAATGTTTGGCGATGCAGTTTGATAAAGTTTCGGATTTGGACACGATGGCCGTTTGTATTAGGAAACATTTACAACTAACAAGGCAAATATACATTAAAGCATGTTTCATTCATGTGCCAAATTGATGAACACCGCATTTAGAATTTTAAGTCATTTTTATGCTGCAGCACCTAACTTAAACTGAACAATATATAGAAAATGTCACAAAAATTATGGAGCAACTGCGCAACGATTCCATATCCAAAAATTAGTTGAATTATTACTTGGTCTGTTGTTCCACGATCTTCGGTATACTCTGTATTTAAAATAAGTTTATATTTTTTATTTGGTGGAGTAAATCGATTTGACAAATAAGAAGTTCGTTTAGCCTTTGGTCTCATTTAGTCTAATCGAATATTGTTCATTTGGTTCTAGATATGCAAAAGAAGTTGTCTCTGTTCTCCGATTTATAGTTCTCTCTGCTGTAACTGGGAGCACAGGTATTCTAATTCTGTGTGGTGTGATCATAATTTTGGTAAGTACAGTAGTTCCTTAGAAATTGAACGATCTTATTTATTTAAGATACAGCACGGCATAAAATAGTAGCACATACTATAATTTTCAGTATTTGTTACAATCATGGCGATATATCGGATGTTCGCGTTAACTTACACTAGCGTTTCTCTTTTTCTTTTTCTTTGATAATCGGTAAACATCAGAGAAAAACGAAAGGGGAAATAATTGTCATATATTTTATTGGCACGAGAGTACGATATCCTAATTTATAATATTGTAAGAAAGGAATAAGCAAGGCCCTGAAAGAATGCCAAGAGTGTTTGGGATTAGAACAAAAGTGACCGCGTGCAAGAGGATCGAATGTAAGACATGTTTATGACAGTCGAATGCAAGTGTCATGTAAAATGAGTATTAAACGGGAAAAAACCGGTAGCAGTTGGGTCGTAGCTCAAGAGCTATCTTTCTTTGTTATAATCCTTTTTTTTATACACTTTATTATGCTAGATGTTACAATGTTCGTACAATGAATCGGCGTTATGGCGTTAAATGTTACATCAAGACTGAAGAGTCTTGTTTTCGGAGGGTTCTATATATTAAAATCTTATCGGTGGTTGACTCAGACTGAGGTCATGAAGTTAGTCATGTTTAGTTATGACTAATTGGGACTTTGGGCCGTTACACAAGCGAAAAGAGAAAGCCTAGAAACGCGTCTGAGTGTTTAGGGTACGTGACCTTTCAATTGAGAAAGAGAACATGAGTATGAAAAAAGACAGAATGCAAGGTTTAAATAAGAGTGCAAGTACGCGGAGGAGTCAGTGTGTATTTTAGAGTCAGTCATAGAGTTTTTGAGAGATAGCGTGCACAGTAGGCCCAGAGTTATTAGTGTTTTAGTTGAGAATAAATCATTTTTATATTTACATAGCGTTGGACATCTTACTTACACAAATCATTCACTAGTTTCATATCCTTGTATCTGTAGGGAGTCCTCCCCCACGGTCGTTTGGATGTTAGGTGGTCGCAAGTATGTTCGTGTGGCGGTGTAGCTAGAAGGGACGAAAGGAAAAAAAGGAAGGGATGCGTTTTGTCCCACCAGTAAGGCAATCTAGCATGCCAATTCCAATTCCTTTTTCAATTTAACATACGTTTAATGTGCCGGAAACAATAATATACATATGAAAAAAGAACCAAAAGGTACAAAAGGGTTACAAATGAATACTTACTATATCCAAAATGAACTCCTTCACAGGCAGTTTCGATGAATATTATCTTCAGTAATATTAACATTCTGGAGAAATTATTTCCTTTGCATTTGTATAATATTATAGTCTGCACCCATGTATAATAGAATCGATAATCACTACTGTCAAGATAACAATGTAGACTGCAGGACTTCTACATTGAAGTTTGCTAACGGTAGATTGTTATTACGTGCTGTACGAGATGTAGCGATTATCATTCTCACCCTCGTCACTAGATGGATTCTGACTTCAAGAAGGTTTGAGGACTTTCTCGCAAGTCCTCGGAAAACCTCCAATTCCTATACACATAACTTCCCGACCTTCCAATGGTATCCCGTTCTAAGGCAAGGCCTGCTAGGGTAGCCTTTTACCGATGCGTCCACTAGCAGACGAAACGAATCCCTCCCTTTTCCTACCGTCCGTTCTAGCATCACGGTGTTGGGGATACCTGTGACCAGCCACTTTTGCATAAACCTTTGTGTGTGTCGGACGTGTCTACCGATCCTCCGTAGTTGAAGCCCTTTTTTGAAGCGAATATACTTGCAGTGTATCGAGGGTGAATACGCTTTCCACAGTGTAGTGATATAATCTCATCAAGTAATAGACAGTTTGCCGAACACGTAAGGGAATAATCCCTTGCAAACAGTGGAAGATAAATTTAAAAAAACGCCACGAGTACCGTTTTGAACACGCGTTTGTATATGCAATTTAGATGGTTGAAGGATTGGTGCCGAAGACGAACTGACTTCTCGAGTTTGCTGTATGTCCTGTCTCGTCGTGTTTGGTCCGGAGTTTTCTCTAGTTTAGTTCTGATTGGGCAAAATAGATGTTGGTGGTGGAAAGGTAAAGAGTTTTAATTGGACAGAGGGTGTGACATAAGGACCTTTGGCTAAGGAGTAGGAAACTGTCAAGGAGCCGATTTCTGATGGTCGATGACGTGATTTATAAGTGCCGTCCGTCCGTCGCTTGTTGGGTCTGTCACAAGTGGGTCCCATCTGTCGCGTCTGGTGCTAGTAAAATTCCTAATTTTGCTTTACCTTTATACGCTTAATCCGCTAGAACGGCGTTGAGGCACATCGAACCTCCGGAATTGCAGTCGCGGTATAAAATATAAAATAGACCGTTAGGTCTGGCAAAAGTGTAAGCCTTAGAATAAAATTATGTTATAAACACGCTCTCCGGGACGGAACAAAAACTATGTTTCTTTGCCAGCAAATAAATTTCTGTAAAATGCCTAATGCCTGCTCTGTAACAAAACTTATTTATTTTTAAATTTAAATATCAATCTTCGTGTCTGTTCTACGAGTAATTTTCGTTTGAAACATAGCTGCACTACGAAAGTACCACTTAGGTAATTACGAACCGCTACGTTATATTTCATTGCTATACCCACAGTAATGTATTAAATCACTCTCAGGTATATACGTCAGCTTTACAACAAGTAAGGTAAGTGAATATCCAATCGCGTGCAGAGCAACATAGTGATATTGTAGCTTGAAGCGACTTGTATAATTCAATCCTCTGCATCATCTAAATTGCATCGCGTTCGTGTAATAGATTACATATTACGTTGAAATGGCATTCAGAAAAGTTACACCAGAAAAGGCCATCCACTTTATTTGGCTTAGTGTAGCTATGAGCTTCTGCTGGCCTCTTCCTCTGACTAGTAGCAAGAAACAAGTCTTTGTTTATAAACTACTTCAAGTCGGTGGCACGTTTAGCACTTGTATGTTGTTATTGTCTTTCAGATACTCCTCGTATTTGCATTCCGACGATATCGTCATTCTGTCTAAATGTGTTTGATAGGTATGAGCCAGGCTATTGTTCAGAATATTATATGTTTCTTCAAATACAACGTGTTACAAGTAGGTATCTATGCGGTTTTACTAACACTCTAATTCAGCAGACAAATTATTTAACAACGAATTATAGCGCGTAGTCGCAGAAATGGTAACGTCTGTCAAAGGGTCACAACAACTCGAAAAGGAAGTATTTTGCAATTACATCGCCAGATGCAACGTCTTTTACGGATGCGCTATAACAATTATGTACACCTCAGCAAGTCTTCTTATGTTAGGACCCACGGTTTTACCTAGTCTTTTCCCATATGATGTGGAATATCCATTCAACGTTAATAATACTTTGACATATGTTACTTTATACTTGCATCAATGTTTATACACCTTCCAATGCACTGCACATATATGCCTATGTGCATTCGGTGCTCTTTTACTTTGGTTTAGCTATAGAATTCCAACAATGTTCTGACATTGATTCGGTGATCTCTTGTATTAACAAGGAATTACGTTTAAGGAGGTAAAGATAATATTATACAGTTTGTAGGCTAAATGATTATTTTTGCGATCATTGTGTTCACTCTAATAGGTTCCTTTTACTCTTAGGTATGCGAAAGATGTGATCAGTTGTTTACGGTTTGTGGTTCTTTATGCTATATTTGTGAGCATGTCTGTGATGATTCTATGCGGACTATTAATTATTACTGTAAGTTATGTCTATGGTGCTTTGGGTATGGCTTATCAAACGAACGGTTTCGGTCTATTTGAATTCTAAATGTAGAACATTTGATTTTTTAACGAATCAGATGCGTTGATTGTTTAGATTATAGTGAGATAATGTTAGATAACGCTCATAGGCTCGTTTCGCTCATTAGCGAAAACAAACATCATGCTCGAGAAACACTACAAATCCTATATACATGCCCTATCATATTATCAAAAATATTTTGCATTTTGCACAAAGTGACAGTATGCATAGTTGTTCTACATCCATTATCATTATTTTCCATATTATCACTCGTATGCCAATTGAAACCGTAAAACATGTATGAGTGAATACTGGTATACTATATCTATACTGAGGTATGTATATGCAGAGGTTCAAACGTGCTCAGATTTCATCGGTTGCATAATTAATGCAATGTCAGCCAACTGAGACTTATTTAATTAATGAAATTGTAATTTGTGAACAGGATTCACCGCTGATTGTGAAGATACAGTTCATGCTCATATCTATGACTATGCTCGTAGAAATTTACATGTACACCTGGCCAGCTGATTTCATGACAGATATGGTAAATTATATGTGATGTACGACTTCCAGTTTTTAACGTATATCTGAATATCTGTTATTCCTAGAGCGTAAACGCTTCACGGAGTGTGTACCATGTCTTATGGTATGAGCACACTGTACGGATGCAAAAGAATATACTGAGCGTGTTGATGTACCAGAAACCTGTTGTTCTTTCTGTCACTTATGTGATACCACAGCTATCCTTGCGTTACTTTTGTTCGGTAAGACAAATCATGCATTGTAAATAATAATAATATAATAATGTTTTATGTTTTTCTTTCTAACTAATCATTTTTATTTCTTTGCAATAACATGTAAATAATAAATGTATTATTTTCTTCAGTACCTGTCAAATGCCTTTTCGATATTTGCATCTTTACGTGCAGTGGTGGAAGGTGATCAACGGTGATCTTTCATGCGTTACACACAATAATTAGTGTACAATAAAATTATCTTAAGCATAATCAGAATATGGATATTTAAAACGTTCTGTTCGGTGTATATTCTTCAGTGCAATTGTGTTAATAAAAATAAATGATTTTAATTTAAATATAACGCACACATATGTAGGATTAGGTGCAGAGGAGACACAGCTTCCTTCCTTTAATGTTAATAGTACCAATGATACGTGAAATGCATCTCAAACTCGACTATTCAAACTCGCTGAACGACCACCCAAACGACACTCGAAACTAATTCTCAGAACTTACACTCCTAACTCATGCTGGCACACTCAACTTGCACTGACTCTTTCTCAATCTCGCACCCCTTTGGATCCAATTTTATATCCATTTATACTACCAATTCATACTTGGCATTCTCCAGCGTCCGAAAATTTTAGATGATTTTAGGGATTCTTTGCTTCTTCAGATTCTATCAACACCACCGATAATCTTCGTTGTCAACTAATTGCTTTCTTTATTAGAGTTGCTTTGCGCATTGCGTGGCTCGTGTCGTGCCTATATGGCATTCGGCAGATGTTGGGTGAGATTTGTTCACTACCAATGTCCAAACGGACCTGGTCCAACGAAGGAGAACGTCTTGAGGAGGTACTCATACGGGCGATTGCTCTTGGCTCACTTCAGATCGAGCTGAATGTGATATCTAGCCGTTGGTCTTTATGGCCCTCATACCACTCACTCTTCCGTACTCGGTGGCAAGCACCGCAGTGCAAGGGGACGACCCACTGTGTCACAAGGGCACCATCGTGGAGGTAAGGTGAGTGTCTTGGTCAGTGTGGGCCCGCCAATTTTACCGAAATTTGCCTCACCGTACGGCGGATTCTTGATAACATCAGTTTCATCGTGGTTTTTGACCGGACAGCACAGTCAGAACTAGCCTTTGGCCTCGAATCTTAGCTGACAATGCTTGCAGGGGTCGAAACAGGTTCGTTCGGGCCTATGCGCTTATGTGCCAGTCAATGCTCCTTACGCTACAGTGCACTATACCGTAGATGACTAACTAAAAGACAATAAATATGTCCGAAACTCGTAAGAATTACTCAAAATATCGAAACAGTTTAATGTTGGCGTACAATACGAGCTGGAATGCTTGTCACGTCATAGAATTATTGAAAATGATTTGGGTCATAATTATTATTTATAGTATGAAAAAAGAAGTTCCAAAAACACGTATCACCTAGTTTGATCCATAGATCATTCACCACTCGCACCTAAGAAATCTCAATCTGCTGTTATGCACATTTGATAATCACCAATACAATACGTACAGTAGCTGACAAAAGTATTTGAACTTCGCATTTAATAGGAATTCTCTAATCGAAAAATTCTGATTTTAATGAATGTTTGTATGCACAGAAAGCACAATGAGTTACGCATGCAGTAATTTCTTCCTGGACAGAAAATAATTTTATGGGGGTAAAATCAACGATTAAAGTTTTAACAATCTTCTTCATTCTTAAGCGAGATATCACACTCATTTTTACTACACAGTGACGCAGTACCGAGAGTTAAACGTTTTTTTATTCGAAAAATTTTTCTTTGTCCCGCATTGTCATACAGTTACATTTAACCCTTTGTCTGCCACGTCGAAATCACATGTTTCCCTGAAGACGCCACGTGAGATGCACCACTAGATGCAAGATTTGTTCTAATATTTTTTTGACGTTGCAATAAAAATTTTTAATCGTTCAATGGGGCACATTTTATTTCAAAGTATCTTCTAATTAGCGGTTATATTTAGGATGCACTAGCTGTCAATTTTCATTCAATGTTGTTCAATGCAGTTCAAGTAGTCCAAGCGCTACGGTCATCAATGATCACCGTGGCATCACAGGAGAAACCGTGGCCGGTCATATATGACCAACGTGGCAGTCAAAGTGTTAAAAGGAGTAGAAATCTGACTGTAACTTTGAGTAACATTTTCATCCACGTGAAGTAATATCCGCGAATAAAGAATATCGAATCACGTGTAACTCGTAGTGCTTTACGTGCACACAAATTCTCATTAAAATCAGAATCCTTTAGTCAGAGTACTTTTAAAGTTTGTATATCTTTTGAATACTTTCACGAGTCAATGTGTACACACAAAGGAATAAGAAACATTGTTACAATATACGTGTGATGTCGTAAGATTTATATTGGTTGTAATTACTGGAAATTTTAACCCTTTGCACTCGAGAGGCGCCTCTCAGTCGCCATTTAATCAGATTCTAAAGATGGATGTTAATTAATATATCAAATTTACAACTACCCAATGATGCGTGGAATATCGTAGTAAAATAATTCTACGTCTTAATTTGCATACGATTTCCTATTTACCGTTTTGGAAATATCGTCGACCTTATGGTAGAAAGTCTTCAAATTACTATTTTCCTGTAACGAAAAAATCGCCGAGTGCAAATGGTTAATCGGTGATATAATACAGGCTACGTTATCACGAGGTCATAAATTAGGCTATACTGAAACGATCGTTTTGGAAATATCGTCGACCTTATGGTAGAAAGTCTTCGAATTACTATTTTCCTGTAACGAAAAAATCGCCGAGTGCAAATCGTTAATCGGTGATATAATACAGGCTACGTTATCACGAGGTCATAAATTAGGCTATACTGAAACGGTAAATATTGATATGACGCTGCTGACATGAAACATTTTACAATAACCGGATTTCTTTTCGAATTATTAATAACAAAAATTAGAATATTACTGCAGTTAAATAAAATCTTTTTCGTCGATCATTCAATATATCTCTTTGAGTTATGCAAATTAAGGCTAAGTTAATCAATCCAATCAATAAATTCAATGTAATAGCAATTTTTGTTTTTCATCTTGTATAAACATAACGAACGAACCAGTAAGTACCAATGATGACAAATAGTCTCTATTTAATTAATTCATATTTGCCTATGAATACATGTGAATATTCATAAACAAGCATAAATTACAAAACCACTATAATAAATTTGTATAATCACTGATTATTTCATATGCACATAGGCCACTGAGCTGGCAAATGAATCAAGTCAAACAGAAGATTTAATTTCTCACTAGACATCAATGACATTCGATATTTATAAAATTTTCTAGAAATGATCTTCTAAAATGTAGAATTTTATAGATAGCTCAATAACCACTCGATCAGTGTTTTTCGAAATTATTCGCCTTGCATTCACATTTAGGGAGTCATCCATATATTTTGTTTTTCTACACTGATTTCACTCAACTAATTACGAACACTTTTAACTTGGTCAAATACTTCGAGTATTTGCAATGGTCATTTTTTATCATTTCGGATGTTAGGAAATCACTTGAAAACCCGTGTGGATACAACAAAGTGCAAACATATGTGTAAACACAACATAGCTCCAACATTTTACTCTAAAGACTTAGCTATGCCTAACATTCGAGAACACTAGCCCTAATGTGTGATTCCTTCCTTTATTCGGAGATAATATGGCAGACGCGCCTATGTATAATGCAACCAACAACTGTAATCATCGAACTATTACAAATCGGAATAATTTCTACAACGCTGTACACTGTATTTAACAGTTTTGAGGATAATTTATTAAATACCTTCGACGTATGAGATCATTACGTCGGAGTATTATTAACATCAAGCATTTAACAGTGCATTTAACTGCTTTCGAAGCAATTAAATAACGTTTTTCACATAACGAAATAACGTTTTCCACGTGACTGTTGCATCAACTAAATCGTGTCTCGTTCGTATCACAAATCCAACGATTCCAAAATCCAACGTGGGAAGAATGTTGAGAAAAACAATGCCAGAGAAGGTGATCTACGTTACTTGGCTGAGTGTAGCTATGAGCTTCTGTTGGCCACTTCCTCTCAGCAGCAGTAAGAACCAAGTATTCGCTTACAGACTGCTACAAATTGTCAGCATCATCAGCATTCTTCTCGTGCTTCTGTCTCTGATATACTCTTTGCACTTGCATTCAAACAACATCTTTGTTCTTTGTAAGTATATTTGCTTAGCAATAGGCATGTGTCAATCTATTGGACAGGTCGCTATATGCTCGATGAAACATAACAATCTACAAGTAAGTCTTTGCTTTCAGTCTTTTATCATTGGTAGCCAGGTGGTCAATGCATTAACCGTATGTTACAGCATATTGTAGGGGAATTGATGACATGTGTCGAAGAGGCGAAACAGTATGAGAAAGAGATACTCCAAAAGTACATCGCAAAATGCGAAGTCTTTTACGGATGTTGCATAATAATTATTTACATTACGGCAAGTGGTGTTCTATTAGGGCCGATATTCCTGGAAACTCCATTTCCATTCGAAGTGGAATATCCATTTAGCATCAATTATACGTTGATATATGTTATCATGTATTTTCATCAGTTTATCGCTATCTTACAATGTACTGCACATGTATGTCTAAGTGGATTTGGGGCTCTTCTACTTTGGTTCCTTGCTGTAAGATTTGAGTGTCTTGCTGTGGACTTCCAAAAATGTTCTGATGTTAATATGATGACTGATTGCATTAAAAAGCAATTACGATTAAGAAGGTAATGATAATATCGTTCCCGTCATGGATTAGGGGGGAGGGGAGGGGATGTCAATCCTATGAAAAACAACTACCAGTAATTTTGAAGACAACATATTTAGAATACGTGTCTTCGTAGCTTTTTCTCACGTTAACTTTAAATATGTAGAAATTAATTTTGCTAAGATATATTTTTCGAAAAAATTATCAGAGCGTGTAATCCATACCCTAATTTTTTCAGTATCGTGAACATATACTGTAAAGAAACTTTCAACTCAAAAACTTTATTTTAGTGGAAGTTATAACGCTTTTGATATTGTTATCTTACCTAAAATGCTCCTACTGAGGATGCTGAACGTTCTTCTTGTACAGCCTGTTCTCTCGATAATTATACTCAACGGATAATTCTTTTAGCAGGCTTATTGCGTTCCGAAGTTTTATCTTCATACCTGCGTATTCGTCGTATTTCTCGTTGTAATTTTTGACGGTTGCGAATGACTAGCTGCCTATTCCCATTGCACTGTTCATGTATAAGTCCAACATTGTGTCCATGTATTCGTCATTATGTTCCCCGATATCTTGTACACCTGAAGATTGAACATGACGTTTAGATGGAAGTATGGCAGAAAATATATGTTCATGATACTAAAAGAATTAGGATTTCACGCTCTGATGACTTTTTCTAAAAAAAAATATGTTTACTGTAGGGTTTCTTGATAGATTCATCCTATGCAGACAGAGACCAGTGCATCTAGTAAACAACAACTTGTTTTAAATAACAAAACAGGTTTATTTTACTGAAATATTATACTAAGTTTCTCTCAATTCAAATACATGATCCTCTATTCACCACGTCTCGACTACACACAGTCTGCCTTCTCTACACACTTCTTTAAGGTCTAACACTCTCTTTTCATACATAAGCTCTCTTCGGCGATCACTCATTTCCCATGCAACCTCGCCTATGATGGGCCAAGTACTTCAGATACTCGAACGCATTCCTAGACTTTCGTTCATTGCTTGCACTCGACCCAGTCGTAACTATCTCATCCGTACAATTTTTGCACGTGGTCATCATTCCGTCCGCACGCACTCCAGACAATGTCCTAAACGCCTAAGTCGAAACCGATGCCGCTGTTTATTATTCTTTTGCTAGAGTCCTTCGTTACTCGCAATCCCACATAAGTAATGTTTGTGCAAGCATAGTCGCAAAAGATATACCACAGCAAAGATTAATATTTTGAAGTGGGACCTATCTATATTTTGATTCATAATTAAAAAACCATTTAAGCAGGGTCGAGTTCAAAAATTTTGCTGTGCCAGAATACGCATTTAAATCTGATACTTAACACGTTTAATGCCACGCCGGACCCTAGGGAAGTTAATCAAAATCGGTGTTTTCTAATTGGGCGATCCCACATTACAAACTTAATTTTTACATGTTTGAATGCAGCATAAAAAAAAAAGCTACAAAGATACGTATTTTCAAAACGTTATCTTAAAAATTATTGGTAGTTAATTTCCGTAGGACTGCCTAATGTGTTGCACGCCGCGATGGTCACCAGTGATTGACACCCTTGTCAGTTTACCAGTGGTGCTGTGCTGTGGTAATCATCGGAAGCTAGCAATACCATGATTAATCAATGCATTTAAATTAAATGAATGATATTTACAAAATTTGCAATTATTTGCAAAACTGGCAATCATCAGTGTTATAACACTGTTGTAAAGCAATCAATATTTCACAAAGTACATACACAGCATATAATTGGAGCATTGTGTTACGTTTTATTAAGGCAAACAATTCATTTCGGAAAATTATACAAAATTCATTTGGCAATCAAACAATACTCGCGCAATCATTGTAATTGGTTTGATCATTTTTAGGTATGCAGAAAATATTTCCAATTGTTTTCGTTTTATAATTGCTTATGCTATAATAGTGAGCACAGTTTCTATAATTATATGCGGTCTACTATTGACTACGGTGAGTGATGTTTAAATGCTTCGCATATGACTTAACTGATGACGCAATTTGTAAACAGAATCTTGTACCGCCCGTTGTGAAGCTACAGTTTATATTGGTAAGTGGCACTGTGCTCATAGAAGTCTACATGTACGCATGGCCAGCTGAATATGTGATGGATACGGTAAATTGTATTTATATGTTAGAATTAAATGAAGTTTATTTACAATATATGCATTAGATTTTCTCAGGTGCTATCTTATTATACTATTATTTTTAGAGTATAAACGTTTCACGCTGTGTGTATAACTTGTTGTGGTATGACCATACACTAGCGTTGCAGAAATACCTATTAAATGTGTTGGCTTTTCAGAAGCCCGTTACCATTTCTGTCACACTCTTGTTGCCAGAGCTCTCGTTGCGCTACTTTTGCGCGGTAACTCAAATTATGATCCGTTCTTGAACGACTGAATAAAATACAATGTGTAAATAATAAATTTATTTCAGTACTTGACCAATGCTTTCTCCATCTTCACCACCGTGCGTGCCGTGGTGGTAGAAGATTAGATACGTTATACGTTCGATCTCAATTCTACGACGAGGATATTTTGAACGCAGTCATAATTAGAATACATAAATAACATAAAATGCATTCATAATGTTAATAGGTAATGTCAATTAATATCAATATCGTTGTATTAGTTAAAATAAATGTACATTAACTCTTTGCACTCCGAATTTTATTTCAATTTCGTTACCAGCAGCTCCCAACGCTTGTAAGTGTTTTATTTGAAATTTACTTTAACTAATAAATAAGATAATTAAAATAAATAAGGGAAGAAACAAATTCACTTAAATACTAGTTTTATTCACACTATTGTTTTATTTTGTAATTTTCAAGTTTAATCAATTCTTCGGTAAAGAAGAGCTTGAAATATCGAATGGGCGTAGTACATGACGATGGAACTCTTGGTGCAACATTTATTTATCCGATAGAAAAATTGTAATCATAAATGTAACTATCATCGTGTGTTACATCATTCCAGATTAGTGGGTCTGGTATTACGTTTCCAGTTTGGTTATTGCTAAAATTGTTATCCTCATCACTTCTGAAAAGTTTCCTCCTACGTGCACGTCTACGACGGAAATATGTTTCCAAGTCTATATCGGAATCTTGACTTATATTGCGATATCGTTAGCAAGATCATTTGTGTCATCCTCTTCCTCGACTATATTGTACTCAAGATCTACTTCTTGCATACAGTCATCACTGTCACTACTGTTAAAATCCTTATTTATTTCGCGCCTTTCACTCATTGCAAATATTTAGAGGGTGACAGGTGCACAATTTTCAAACTCTGAGCAGACTGATATAAGTTAGGTAATTAAACCAGTTCGGTAAGAGCGTCAATAACGTGTGCGCCACATCTATTGATTTGGACATGAAAGAATGTCCAAAATGGAGTGGGACTCGACAATAGAACTCCTGAGATAAAAACTGATGTCGAGTCACACTCATATAGGAGTGCAAACGGGTAAGATTCTAATTTATATGAACAATATATTATATACAAATATTTGTAGGAATGGAATGAGCACGGCCCTGAAAGAATGTCAAGAGTGATTGGGCTTAGAACGAAAGTGACCGCTTGCAAGAGGATTGACTGCAAAGAATATTTATGGTAGAGTCAAGTGAAAGTTGAGGGATGCGTCCAGAGTGGTTGAAGTGGAACCTGGCCCACAGAGGTTGCGTGAGAAATGGACATGATTGGGAAGGAAAGCCTGGGTATGACAAAGGACAGAATGAATGGTTTAAATAAAATTGCAAGGGCACGGGCGAGTCAGTCTTTAAGAATTTCTAAGCCAGTCTTTTTGCAGTCTTTAAGAGTATGTCAATGTGTGCCAATCAGAGAGTATGCAAGAAGTCCAAGTCAGGCTAAGAATGATCAGAAGAGCGTACCCATAGCGAATTTCTCTTGTGTCATAGCCGTCATTCTATTTAGAAGCTTATTTTAGTCTATTAAGAAGCCAACAATACTATCTTAAGTAAATTCATCTAAAATTCCATCCTACATATATGTACGTATAAATACATAAATGAGCAGAAACCATTTGCAGGAATATAACTTTGAATATTATCAGGCACGGTAAGTATAAATACTGTTATCATAATTGATTATAAGGTATGCGTTCTACAGAGAAAAAAATAAATATATATTTATGCAATCAGAATCTCTTTCAATCAACATTTTCACAAAAATATTTCGTTGCAATCAATTTTTAACATGATAATTTCTTAACACGTTGTCTGCCGTGGGTCGACCAATAGTAAAAATACAATACAGAATAAATTTTTCAATAATACCATTATTACTATAATAATTTGAAGAAATTAATGCTATATAGAACGTATAAAAATAATTTTATTAACGCATGAGAAATAGACAAATTATACAAACTATATAAGTGCGCCACATTGAATCATGTTGAAGCACTCTAGACAAAGAAGAGGGGAACTAATACAATCGGCACAATATGTTCATTTTTCTAGTAGAATTCCTTGCACTTACTTTCCCTAGCTGTTTTGAATTTTTTTCGTAGCGCACTTTGTAAAATGAAAATGCAAACTTCATCGTCAGAATATTTCACTAATTTCAAACAATCTATAATTGCACAAACGGTTTGTAGCGTCACGGGGTGTGACTCTACCGATGACCCCACCACGATAAACGTATTAAACAGTTCAACTTATCTGCTGTAAATAGTATTTCAACATAATACGCACCGTATAATAAAGAAATGTCATGTTAGCATTATGGGCAAACCACGTAAAATGCGCACGGCAGTCAACGTGCTTGATAAGTCCTTAATAAATTCAAGGACTATGCCCATTCTGCCATATTCTATCTTACTCGGTCTCGATACGGCCTGCCGATGATCTTTGTCACCGTTTTTGGCTGATAGTCGTCATTGCCTGTGATCGAGGGAGTGTCAGCGAAATCAGTCAACCGCGAGGATGTAAACACTCTGTGCCATCTTTTCTTGAACGCATAATACCAATTCAATAAATCACGAGTGAGATTTTCCGAAACTTTTCAACCACGTACTCTGCATGACTGAAAAGAAGTTATCTGAGAAACTTGTAGGACTGAATCTTCACCAGCCCAGCCATTCTAACATCATGGCAGAAGTAGAGTAAAACGCTTCTCTTATTGGTAGTGTAGCGACCATTATTTCTCGCCCTCGCCACTAGATGAATTCTGTCTTCGAGGACTTTCCCCCAAATCCTCGTAAAACCTCCAATCCCTATATATATAACTTCCCGACCTTCCAATAGTATCCCAGTGTCTAAGGCAGGACTGCAGTACGTATATAATTACGCGATCCTATTCAATAATTGTTTGAATAGAATGTATTTCTCCACCGTTTGAAAAACAGCAAAATTAATTACAATAAAGAAAAAAGGCAAAGAGCGAAGTAATCCAACGGATTACCGACCTATTAGCCTTTTAACGAATATTAGCAAAGTTTTCGAAACTGTCATAAGCAAAGCACTGTCGACGTACTGTGACGAAAATGGCATTATCCCAGAGATACAATTCGGGTTCAGGTATCAACATTCGACCGTACACGCGATTTCGAAATTCACATCGGACATCTGCTGGGCGAGAAACGTCGACGAATATGTAGGCGCTCTCCTAATAGACCTAGAGAAAGCTTTTGACACGGCGTGGCTTGACGGTCTCTTCTTTAAACTCACGAAGAGGGGCTTTCCAACACACCTTGTCAAAATGATCTGGGATATGTTACGCGGGAACACGCGGAGATAGACAGAATAGACTTATTCGTGCTCAAACTGATCCGAAATCGTTGGGCAAACATTAGAAATATAAAAAGCAATAAATTAATAAACAGTTCCGTTGACCCCAATCCGCAATACCTTGAGAAAACTCGACACACGGGATACACACCCCCAGAAGCTTTTGTACATCTTGATGGCCGGAGGTACATTCAGAATAGCGAAAATGTACCCTTGATCTATTACGTGACTAGGAAAGCGGACAACATAGCAATTCTGTATAACACAGACGGCAACTATAACAACGCGTCTAAAATTAACATGAAATTGTCAAAAATAGACCAGGAAGATTCGCGCCGCGAAAACGTAAAAAGATATTGGTGGCTCGATTCGCGTTAACACAACTTATATACTTGTTAGAAAATATTGTAAACATTCATGTACGAATAAATAAATAAAACCGGTCAGAAAACCCTCGTTAGTATAATGGTTAGTATCCCCGACGGGGAGAAGATTAATTTTTGTTTTTCCCCCCATTCATACTTTTACTTAGTCACTCCTGTTTTGTCTTTCGTAACTTTTCGGATTACTCATACTCATAAGCATTGTACCGAATAATCTTTGAATACATGAAATGTATATACCCTTCCCCCTCCGCCTTCCTTTCCTCCCCCATTATTTATTTATTTATTATTTATTTATTTATTTAGTTATTAATTTAGTCCACCCCTTTAAAGTCATATACTGTATAGTTTTCGTGACTTTTCTATACATAGGCAAACACGCGACCTAATATAAGATAGTCCTTAAGTATATATTATCCTAAAGCGATAAGCGCGGTAGCTTAAGTTTAGTTTTAAGATCGCGAGTGCTTCATGTTGGAGCCATCGATCTCGTAGCCTAAGTTGTCATGTATAACCCTTTATACGTTTTTGGTTTTTTTTTTTTAATTCATATCTTTGTAAAGATTTCTTGGCACAATAAACGTATATTTAAAAAAAAAAGAAAAAGGGTGTCTAAAGCAGGGCCTGCGGAATAGCCTTACTGATGAGTTCGCTACCAGGCCCTGGACGAAATGCATCCCTTCCTTTTCCTAACGTCCCTTCTAGCTACGCCACCACCGAGAATACCACAGTAGAAACATCCCTTCCTATTAGCCCGGTCGTAGAATACCATGTAACAAAGAAAGCTAACGAAGCAACGAGACAAAGTGAAACAGACGCAACAAATAGATGCAAGAGCGTAGACTTATCCCAAAAGTATATTAACTTCAGATTCTTCTGATGAACGCATGATTATTTGCAATTACTAATTACTAATTAGCATCTTGATTAACTTTCTATTGCATTATGCAGCAAACGTGATGTACTATACACATATTTTTTATATTTATGTTGTATCGTATGATTTGTTAAACGGTTATCTAGTGCTATGCAATTACATAATTAATTTATCATAAAAAATACATCTTAAATTTTAAATCAATTTTCGTAAATGATGTTAATTATTATTACTTTTGTACTCTTTTACTTTATAAATCTTCTGAGCTATTGTCATCCGATTCCTTATTCGACTGCCTGCTTTGTATTTCCAATTCTAGGTCTTCAGTTGCGTCTTCTATTATTCCATCTTTCGTCCATTATTCGTATTCCAATGTTTCTACGTGTATAGAAAATCCTTTTCGATCATTTGGTGTTGTTTCGTTTATTGCCTGGCGTAGTAGTGCTTCCAATTCATTGTAAGTTAACTCTGAGATAACACCTTTTTCGCGGATATCTTACGCCAATGTTAACGTATCACGTTACCGAACTTGGAGATAGTAGTTTTAGGAGTGTCATAGAAGAGTGGGTTTTACTAGCGAGAGTATAGGTGGAACAAATGGAATACCCCCCTTGCCGCGCAGCCGAAACAGATATCTGCTTATCAGCCACGCATAGTAACTCAAATGTACCACGTATACGAGGCACTGTTCCTCGTATGAGAAAGAATCTGCCAACTGATCCATAAGGAATACCAGCCTTACTATGTAAAGAAAACCACTTACACCGGGCTAAGATCCTATGCATGACCGGACTATAATTACGAATAAGTACAGATGATTAACCAGGATAGTAACATTGGGGAAAGAAACGCATAGAAAGAAATCTCTGACCGATACTACCATATTTTAATAAGGAGTACTTGCTGTATGACTAATTTAATTCCACTTAAGTAAAAGGCAGTTGTATACGGGATTCGATAGAAGACGTTCAGTTGCTTTCGAAGTAATGTAAGAATACCGTAGTTCATAGTTCTGCACACAAATTGTATTGTTATATCAGTAAATCTACATTTCGTTCGCATTAAAAGAGGAAGAGTACGTTGATATCATGTTCAAAGAAGTAACACCCGAAAGAGTCATTAACATTGCGTGGCTCAGTGTAGCCGCGAGTTGCTGTTGGCCTCTTCCTTTCAATAGCAACAGGAAGCAAAAGTTTGTTTATAAAAGTCTACAAATCTATGACGCTATTAGTGCATGCACTGCGATCCTAGCTTTAGCATATTCTGTACACGTGCATATCGATGATATTATCACTGTCTGCAAATGTATTTGCTGCACAGTAGGCCTAAGCCAAATAATTGCCCAGTCATTTATATGCGACATCAAACATGACCTGTTACAGGTAAGAATCAGTTTTCTTTCTCTTCGCGTTTGAACTAAACAGTTAAAGCGTTTAATGACGAATTTCAGCGTGTAGTTGCAGAGATGGTGGTGTGTGTTAAAGAGGCAAAGAAATTTGAAAGGAAAATATTCTCCAAATACATCGCGAAATGCAAGATGCTTTACGGATGTTCGATAACTTTTATTTACGCAACGACGTCTGCTATTCTCCTAGGGCCAATGGTTTCGACTAGCCCATTTCCAATGGACATTGAATATCCGTTTAGTATTAATAAGACGTCGGTATACATTATCCTGTACATACATCAATTTATCCTCATCTGCCAAGGCACTGCGCATTTATGTATGTGCGTGTTTGGCGCCCTCATGCTATGGTTCACTGCTGCGAGGTTCGAATGTCTGGCAGTGGAATTCCAGAAGATTGGAGACGTTGATATGTTGATTATTTGCATTAAGAAACAATTGTATTTGATGAGGTAAAGATGATATTTCACAGAACACGAAATAAATGTAAATTTTATGTTCTTGTGCCGTTAGATACGCAGAGGATGTGACAAGTTGTTTTCGGTTTGTGATACTCTATGCTATAGGAGTGAACACATTGGCCACGATTCTTTGCGGCCTCTTACTGATCACGGTAAATGACAGTTGGATATCTTTCGTATAGTTTAAATAATGAAATTTTAATCGCGGATGCAATTTATGAATAGAATGCAGCATCCCTTGTCAAAGCGCAATTTACATTGCTTTGTTTCACTGCACTCATGGAAATCTTCATGTACGCTTGGCCAGCTGACTACCTAATGGAGATGGTAAATTATGTTCATACGTTTATGTGCAATTTGCTGACGAGGAGAGTGCAAGTTCTTCGGGACACCGATTTAGTTGAAACTGTAGGTTTGTAGATTCCGTCGTGCAGTTCAAAATGTATATCCATTACAGGGGCAACTACTCGATAGTTCTTCAGATATTTACTATAACAATGATTACATCTGTAACTACAGATTTATTTTACAAATTTTTATTTACAATAATACATACATTTACAATATTACATATTTTACAAATGTTTATTTACAAATTGGCGTTGTGCTTTAACGGCCCGTCTAGCTGGCGACGGGCAATAGACAGTAATCTAGGGTTGGACTGAACATTTAGAGGATGCTGAAGTGCGCGTGGAAGGACGAGTGACCGCGTGTAAGGATCGGATGAACGGGATATTTATGATTGTATGGAATGCAAGTGACGTGCGAAAGGCGCCTGAATGTCAGGGTACGGAACCCACCGAGAGCGAGCCTATGGGAAATGCGTGATTGAGGAAGAAAGATTGAGTATGAAAGAAGACGGAGTGCTAGGTTTATCCAGTTAACCCATTTGCATCCAAGCGCGGAATATTCCGCGAGCTACGATGGTCGCCTATCACCAAGCGCAGAATAATCCGCGAGCTGACTTTTTCCATTACCAGTTGCTGAATATTCTTCATATGCCACATATCACGTTTGATCCCTTTTGTGAGCATCTCGTCTACATCGGTTCATTATATTCTTAACAAGCTTTACTTTTGTCGTGAAAATCCTTTTAACTGCCATTATGAGCAGGTGCTTATACGCGCGCGTGATACGGGCTAGTCGTCAGTTTAACGTCGCTGATGCCTGAACACGGCACCTTAAGTAGAGCCATGATGCAAATGGGTTAACTATGTTTGACGAGTATACTCGTTATGACACAAAATCCTGCAACCTCTCCATGACAAGTATACTATCTTGAAGTTTGAGAATATGTTTTGCTTTTCACAAAAATTACAATTTAAATCTTCGAGGATTTTCAATAACATACGAATACAAATCACTATCAACTATACCCAGATAGAGCTATCTATCTCCAGTGACTCCAAAAATAAGTCATTTTGACTAATGAACAGCATAAGGAATTTAAAAACAGACTATTAATCGTGTCTTACCCTACCTTTCCTCGGAAACCTGATACAGTACACTGGAAATGTACGTATTTTTGAAACTTATCTCAAAGGAAATATTCAGTTGATCACTCTGAGAACTATGCGGTTTTATTAACCCTTTGACCTACAACCATGTGTGAGGCTTGTGGTCAAGTTTTCGAGCCAAAACTGATTATCACGAGCCTGGCACGTGGTACATCGGTCGGAACAAAACTATCATGGGCCAGGCTAGTGGTACGTCGGCCGAGACAAATGTAAACATCACGTGTCACACCCATGGTTTATTGATGTGCCCCACGCAAGTCATGTGCGACTGGTACAACTTAAGACAGATTTAACACCCATAAAATGTTCGATAAATACATTTTTGTTATTGTTTCATGAATCAACGTATTTATATTATAGCTTCTACTATGTAATAAAACTAGAATAGATAGTAAATGATTATGTCAAAAAGTTTTTCCTTCAAATCAATTAGTTTAGTGGTTATAAAAACTTGTACCACACAACCATGCTGTGCCAAAACTTTTGTCCGGCACTGTAGATCCCTATGCAGGGAGACGCTATCCAAGTAAAGACTCCTCTCACACTAGTTTAATCTTTTAGCTTGTAACTTTACTTTTAGGTCTCTTTAACTCGTAAATAAAATATATGTTGGAATTAAACGACATCCTTTTATTCCGTATATTGCCAATCGAAACATATCTACACATAACTACACTATAATGTATATGTTCTTGAACTGTATGACAAAATCTACAAACGTGTAAAGTTTCAACTAAATCGGTGACTTGAAGAACTTGCACTCTTCTTGTGAGCTATAATTAGAATTTCATCATTTTCGAGAGCGTAAGCGCATCACAAAGTGTGTACGATATATCGTGGTACCAACTCAATGTGGAGATGAAAAAGAATGTACTGAACGTGTTGGTGTACCAGAAGCCTGTTGTTCTCTCTGTCAGTTTTGTGTTATCTGAACTCTCCTTGCGTTATTTTTGTTCGGTAAGGAAAACTATGCTTTGCGATGGATGATTTATTCAAATATAATATGTAAATAAGAAATTTATTATTTTTTTCAGTTCTTGTCAAATGCCTTTTCCATCTTCACAACTTTGCGTGTGGCGGTAAACGGTGATTGATTGTAAATGTTTTACGTATTGTATGGCGAATTCTTGTAACGACAGTTTTATATTACATTCTTCTGAATGAGATATGTGAAATGTTTAGTCGTTATTGTTATGTGTGAATCTCATGATTAATAAGTGCTGTAGAAATAGACATAAATGGAAATTATTAATTTCTGCTTATTTGTGTACCGAGACATATAAGAGTCATTGTTAGGATATAACAAGAGTTATTAATGGCATTGTTCCAAGAGTTATTAATGACATAATTAATCAGGTACGAATATTCTTGTCAGCTTTATTAGCAGTCGATAATTTTGATAGAATAAAAGACACAATACGTATTGGCCACGGTATAGCAATGTCATAAATTAAATCATGGAGATAATTAACCTCTCGTACACTTCTTCGATCAGGAGGAACATTTTAACAATATTGTGTAATGAATTTCCAAAACAATAATTTCTTAACCCATTTGCATCCAAGCGCGGAATATTCCGCAAGCCACGACCGTCGTCTATCACCGAGCGCGGAATATTCCGCGAGCTGACTTTTTTTCATCAGTTGCTGAATATTCTTCATATGCCACGGATCACGTTTGATCCCTTTTGTGAGCATCTTATCTACATCGGTTCATTATATTCTTAACAAGTTTTACTTTTGTCTTTAAAATCCTTTTAACTGCCACTATGAGTAGGTGCTGATATGCGCTCGGTGATACGGGCTAGTCGTCAGTTGTACGTCGCTGATGCCTGAACACGGCACCTTAAGTAGAGCCATGATGCAAATGGATTAATAATGTAAGACAGCCGCCACCAACGACCAAACCCCGGCAATCGGTGACTTTGATGATGTCACGGGATTAGTTTGCAACGGCGAAAAATAAGAATAACTATGCCTTTATACGAGATACTACCCGTAGAGTAGGTATACCGCAAGAGAAGTGACACGTATTTAGAATTCGAGAAGAACTGATTTTATTTAGGTTTTGGGATACATATATATATTCTTGCTATCTTATGCTAGGTGGTTTGGTCATCGGGTGGTAATTCGTATTAGCTGTCGTCACAGGGTTGCGTCTTGAAATTTGGAACTGTAGTCATCTGCTGATTCATGTTGGAGTTTGGAGTCTTCCTTACTTATCTTTCTTTACTTATCGTGGGCTGTCGTCACAATGGTGGCGACTTTGTGTCCGCGATAGCTCTCGATCGTTCCATGATGTCGCACGCGTGTCTGGAGTTCAGTTCTTTGACGATTCTCGACGGAGTAACAGAATAACGTGTGAAGAATAAACTTTTGAAGCAAGAAACCTTTTATTAATTTTAATCCGAGTCCCTCTGGTTTTCCGAACCACACCTCCTACCTCCTCCGCAGTTCTGGTATGTAAAGACGTCCACTTGCACCGGACTAAGATCCCATGCACGACCGGACTAGAATCACGAATAAGTACGAATAATTAACCAGAATAATAATATTGGGGAAAGAAATCTCTGACCGATACTACCGTATTTTATTAAGAAGTATTTCCTGTATGACTAATTTAATTCCATTTAAGTAAAAGACCATCCACGTGCACTTCAGATATCCTCTAAACATTCATGCTGAACCCTAGAATACTGTCTATTGCCCGTCGCCAGCTAGACGAGCCCCAGGATTCTTTCGCATTGACTCCCAACCTGATATTACTACACATTTACGCTGTTCTAAGGAAACTTCTGCATATGTTTCATGAAAAAATAACACCCCTTTTTCGCGATGACCTTGCACCTAACTAATAACATATGCACGGCCAGGTGAATAATGCAAATAATAATTAGCAACTTCGAGCCAGGTAGCAGAAGAAGAAACATATGGTAGGAAAACAGTTGTAGATACCAATTACGATTATTTTTAAAGAGTACATCGAGTATGGCTTCTCCGATCTCTTTTACGTATAAAACAATTCTACACGGATTCCAGCAATGAATGTTTCGTTGCTTTCGAATCAATGAAATGATATTATAGGTCCAAGTAACCTATATAGATGGCACTGTCAAATCACATAACTCGTGGTTCAATCATATTATGACAAAAACAGTTATTACGTTCAAAAAAGTGACACCGGAGAAAGTAATTCAACTTGTTTAGCTCAGTATAGTTGCAAGATGTTGTTGACCCAAAAGATTGAATCCACGTGTGACTGACCCATAGAAGCGACAAACAGACCTCTACCCGTAAAACGCGACAGTGACGACCAAAACAATACCGAAAGGGAAACTTCCTTGACAGTTTCCCACAAATATCCTTGTAGAGACTATGGTGGTGGTAAATAATAGTACTCTATTTATTAATTAATAATAATGGATTGACAATGTGTGGTTACGATAAAGTCTACGAATATAAATATATCAACTATTGCAACTACAACTTAACAACACAATTACAACTCGACTGTTTCAACTAAACAACTGTCCGCTAACCATTTTTGCCTTCCTTATATATTCCCCAAAAGCCTCCCCCAACATGACCAAATATGGTCACGCTGAGGGCCCGACGCATCGCCGGGGTTTTTCCGACCGACCTGGCCCTCGGCGACCTTCCAAACTAGTCACCTATACACGAGGTGAAAATTCTGCAATACTACATCCTCTTTTCAAGCAAAGGTCCTTTTGAAGCACCCACCTGCAATCAAAAATTCTACTTCTTTTCCACAAATATTTACTCAAAACTAAGCAAAACAATCAATCAAAATAAACTCGAGAAGACACCAGACAAAACAAGACAAGATATCACAGAAGTCATAGAGAACTCGAAAATAACATATCAGACGTCATTCAAAACTCGAAGAGAACACATCAGTCGTTATACAGAACTCAGTCAGCATATATCAGAAATCATACACAACTCGAAGAGAACACATCAGAAATCATACAGAACACAGTGAAAACTCATCAAAAGTCACATAAAACTCAAAAACAACAAATCAGACGTTACTCAGAACTCGGAACATACTAGAAATCGTACAGAATTCGAAAACAACACGTCAGACGTCACTCAGAACTCGGAACGATCCAAACGACGCACGCGTACCCACGGACTACTTCATCTCATTCACAGGTCTAAAACTCATATTCAAAAAACTGAAGAATAAAAAATCCTGCAGTTTCGACAACATTCCTAATATCGCTGTCAAAAATTTGCCGTTACAATATATATACAATTATGCGATACTTTTTAATAATTGCTTAAACAGGATGCATTCTCCTACTACCTGGAAACCGCTAAATTAATGGCAATAAAAGAGAAAGGGAAAGAAATCCAACAGATTACCGACCAATTAGCCACCTCGCGAATATTAGTAATGTTTTCGAAACTATCATAAACAAGTTATTAACGACATACTGTGACGCGAATACCATTAACCCAGAGACACAATTTGGGTTCAGGTATCAACATTCGACGATTCATGCAATTTCCAAATTCACATCGGACATTTGTTGGGTGTGGAACGCTGACGAATGCATAGGCGCGGTCCTTGTAGACCTGGAGAAAGCTTTTGACACGGTGTGGCTGGATTTTTCGTGGCACCTTGTTAAAATGATCTAGAACATGCTACATGGTAAAAAATTTATCGTCACAGAAAACAATTGATCGTCTACGAAAACCTTCGTGATTGCTGATGGCTTGCAACGAGACACTGTCAATTCCCCCATCTTGTTTGGAATATATATAAGCGATTTACTCCGCATGTACGACCTAAATAACGACCCCGATAAATTCGCAATAGTCTTCGCCGATAATTTATTAATTTGCATAAAAGACAGCTGACCATCAAAATTAAAAATGCGATTACAGGATATTTTTGAAAGAACCCAAGATTACTTGCACACTTGGAAGTTAAAAATTAACACCGATAAATGCGAAACGATTTTGTTCCGGCCATTCATATCACAGATTTCAAACGTCAACAGCAACGCACGGAAGCATTCGAAACACTTTCAGTTGCACGACGAAAAAGACGATCGGGTAAAAATCGCGAGTAAAAAGATGGTTCGTTACTTAGGCGTACATCTGGACATTGAATTAAATTTTACCAACCATGTCCAAACGCAGATCGAGAAAGCCCATAAGGCATTCGCCAGTCACAAACGTCTGTTTTATTCAAAATTACTAAGCGCGGAAACATAGATTATTTGCTACAAAACACTTGTAAGACTGATACTGACATATGGTTGCCACATATGGTTCAACGTATCGGCAAGTACAACAGAGAAACTGATGATTTTCGAAAGAAAATGCCTCAGAGCTTGTCTAGGCAAATACCGGACTCCGGAGTCAAATTTCACGAAATTTATTAGTAATCACAAACTGTACGAATACGCGAAAATAGTTAGAATAGATTTGTTCATGCTCAAATCGATTCGTAATCATTGGGCGAACATTAGAAACATGAATGTCACCAATTTTGTGTGCATAGATTCTATACTTTCGTAACTGCTATGATGGTGGGCGAAGCACCAAGCTAATGGTGAGGGCAGTCACATCGATGTTTTCCTGGCCTGCTATACGGAGTATACCATGAGGTCAGAACCAATCAGTACAGTCGAGTTTCCTATAACGCGATTAATTCGTGCCACGTTATATGGAAACCATGTTATAAGAAAATCAGAATTAATTGTCATATAGAAATGCGTTCTATAGAAACCGCGTTATGAGAAACATAGTAATAAGACAAATCAGATTAATTTATACCGCGTTACCACTGCCGTGTTACATAGAAACCGCACTACAAGAAACTCAGAAATAATACAAATTGAATGAATTCGTACCGTGTTATATGGAATTTCAGAAATAAATAAATTGTACATAAATCAGACCTATACAAAAACTGCATTCTCAAAGTATCAAGTTGCGATTGACATGGTTAGTAAATAAAATTTTATAATAGAAATGGCAATGAACATGTAGATTTTTACATATTTCAATTTAGGTTTATCGAATATAATACATAGTTTAGATATTAAAATTATAAACTAGAAAACTTGTTTTCAACAAAGAAACTTAATTTGATACATATTAGTGACGTATTCTAATTTGAAATTGGATTCTACCGTGTTAAAATTAAACGGTTTATTACTTTGTTTTATATAATTATCTTTTGGGCGCCTATCGAAACCCTTATTAAAATCTTTTCTATCATAAATCCTCTTATCCATCAGTGTTATTCCATATTTCTTCTTATCACGTGGTTCATACATTGAGGATACCATAATTAGATTGTTTTATTATTCATCATCACTGTCAAATATTTACAGTCTTATCCTATTTTTCTAATTGGCCGGAAATCCTCTTCACATTGCGAATTTTCTTCTTTCTTTTGAAATGTAGTTTTATTTTGTAGTTAATTTAATTTTTTAATTTTTCAAGCCATTTGAATGGTTGGAATAGTCTTGTATGAAAAACGCATTATGGGAGACTTGACTGTAGCAAATCGTATTTTCTTATTGCAATTTATACTTACAAATTTTTCAGAATGTTTTGAAGTAAAGTGAATGAAATTGTTTGACTCACAGTTCCATGCGGAGAATGCTGTTGTAATAGTCTACAGGAAGTGACTCCAAAGACTGTTACTGTGGAAATCAAGTGTAATAAAAAAAACAACAAGAAGTTTGTAATAAAACATTGAATATTACTTAAAAATGCAAAATCAATTGAAAAATTTTAAATAATGAAAAGTTGAAAATTTCATAACAACAATATAAATTAAACGTCTATTGTAGACTAATAATATATAGGAATCGAAACTTTGATATAAATGCTTAAAATCTAATAATAATTCCTGAAATTTTTGAATATTTTTATATTATGATTTCGTATTTTGAATTTCCAGCTATTCCAGAATATATTTCAGTTCAAGTATACAAATTTTAATCTCTACATTTTCGGTTCTCTTCACTTCATAATTATTAACAATCATTAAAACAAATTAGGAAGATAGAAATTAATTGGTACAATATACAGGGATACTTACATTCTTGACTTTTGCAGTGTTGTCAAATCCTCTCTAAGAAACGGCAAACCCCAAATACCGGCAACGTCAAACATTAACAAAAAAGCATACACATAAATGAAAGGAAAATAGAAAACCATCCTGGCGTCCGTTTAAATTTTAACCGACGAACAAGCGCAGACTCTATCATTTTGCTTTATGAAATTTTAGACAAACACTAACTCTACTTTCGTGTGGGAATATTATGATTGAATTGGTGAGGGCTACTGGGCTGTAAGAAAGAAACCTCACACGCAGAAAAACAAATATTGATTCTATTGGCCGCATTTAGCTCGCGGCCACGGAGATTCCTGAAAGAAAAAAAACATTAGTTCGGGTGGCAAGATGGACAAGAAGCAAAATATGTTGTTTTTATACTGATTTTTTAGCTGTGGAACTTCTTAAGAGAATACGATTGCTTTTACAATTTTACAACAGCTTGTTATTCCTTTTGTTATTTATAAAAGTAATATTAAATAAAAATTAGGAATAATGTAAATGTTATACAGCTTATGAAAAAATTGTATGAGACTGTTCAGTATTTGAATTTCAAACATATTACCGATAATGAATTATGTTACGTTTTATAAATAAATATTTGAGATTGTTTACGATAAATTGAAGTTTCTCGCATATACGTGTATATGTACATACATGTTTGAAGAGCGTGACAGTACTAAGCAATAATTGTTCCTAAGTCTCCGTTGAAAATTGCGTGTCTATATTTGTGATCTCTTCATATAAATAGCAAAAATTATTATTCAAGATTAAATTATGACGACATTATCATATTCGCAACCGAAATAGAGTAAAATGTAAGGTATTTGAATTTGTTATTCAAACGTAACGAATACTTACAGTTGCATATTACTTTTGTCTTCGTTATCACATTTTCATGAATTTTGAATATGAACCATTATGGCGCCCATATTTCGTTCTTCAATGCGTTTTACATTGATCCTTCATCGTGTAGAGCGTCTTCGATCAAACAATAAGCTGCAAAGAAGAAAATCAAAATCCTAGCTTAAATGTGTAAACATATAACTATATTAAAATGAGAGAACAATCGTATTTAAATACTACCTCGGAAACCAATAACTAAAGCTACCTATAATTTTACCGGTCAAATTAAAAAAAGAAATCTCGAAATAGTTTGGAGGGCTATTTAGATTTATTATTATGATTAAGAAGTTATCAAATAGGCATGCAGTGACCGAACGGAGCTAAAATTTTTGTATACACAATAATAGAATAGAAGCAAAACAACTACGCAACGAATAATTGTAAACGAATTACGCATCTTAAACTGAACAACCTATCCTATCCATATGAGTTTCAACAATAGACTGACCTCTTCCCATGCGTGGTTTCATATGAGTTACCGGACTGATCGAGACTAGCGCCCCCGCCACTTCCAATACCCGCGGCAAGTTAAAAATTTGAAATTCGTTGAGTTTTCGTAGGCATGGTCATAACGAATAAAAAGGGTTTCCATTTTCACAATTTTATTCTGTGCTAAATAAAGTCTTTGAATATACTGCATCCAATTAATAGATATACTATTCACTGCACATACATATTACTAGTCACAGCATTTACGACAATATTTCCTATAATACTTACTTATCCAGGAGGTTAGTCCTACGCTTACGTTTAATAAAGAATTTAATACTTTGAGCTATAAAATATTCTGCCTCGTACGTTATTTCATTACTATGTTTAAGATTAAATTCAATCACCAGTGACGCTGTAACCTTATTCTATGTTGAGTCGATAATGCTGGAAGTGACACTTACCAACAGTGAGTAAAATAATGCGTGATAATTTTCTTATGCATTGAACAATTATATTACAGTATTCTACATATTCTTTGTTTGTGATTTCAAGTTATTTAATTAGTTACTTAGTTAATTGTTTTGTGGATATTTTATATCTTGTTTACTAATCCATATTATTATCTAATTTTAATTCCAATCGTTGGTAGCGTCACAGTCTCATTCTGAACTGAGTTGATTCTGTAGGAAATGAATCTTGATGGTAAAGAAGTTCTCTTAATAACCATCGAAACGTGAAGTTAAAAATTGCAATGGATTTGGAATTCTGAATTTCATAGGTTAAGAGTGTTTTTACACATGGGAAATGGTGTTTTGTGAGATTTTAAAGTTCATAAAATATGAACTCCTATAAAGTAATGGAGAATCTGAGAATTTAGCATTGTTTGTGGTGTTCAAAATTAAATTTTGGGTTCTGAAAATACTTATTTGTTTGATAAAGGAGACCACAATTCATTTAACCTGGATCTTATGTGTTTCGGTAGCCAAATTATAGAAATGTAAAAGCAATTGAGAAGAAAAGCTTAGAATGTGACGAACAGAAGGACAGCTATATGAAAACGTTCTTTGGCAAAATGACGAAGAATTCTAAAATCGCATTTTATCCAATAATCCTATATGTGCTCAGTAAAGGTTAGAATTCGTGATTATCAAGTGTACAAAAAGTTAACTTATTTATCGTAAGAATAGCGTACAATATATATTGAAATGCGACAGAAATGAATCTTAAAACATTTCGTAAGAAACAGGTGATATATTTGAATGAAGGTGTATTTAATTCCTTCGTAAAGCCTAAAATCTATATTTAGATTGTCAGACTGCAAGAATTTACACCGAAAGTAAATTATTGGCATGAAAGAGTTAAAAGATGATACTATTTTCCCATATAAGATTGTTAGAATTATAAGACTGGATCATACAATTAAGAATCATGGTTTTTCGGAAGCCAAAAATAGATAGAGAGGAATCATGAAATGATGATTGTAGATAATGATTTAGATAACTCATTACCATCAAAGAGGGAGAGAGATTTTCTACTTCTAAAAGAATATCAATAGAAAAACAATTCACATTGATTGAAGAGAATAGTCAATCTTTTATTACAAGCATTGTAGCATGAGCTGTTTCAAAAATTTCAAGTTTATCATCAGTAGAGTGATAAAAAGAAATGTTATTAATTGACCATTTAAACTTACAATTATAAATTTTTTAAATAATAAGATTAGCAAATGTATTATTTTCCATAATAAGAATAATAGAATAACCTTTTGAACGAGAGACTGATTAATAAGGAAAATAATAAAATAAACTTAATATTATCAAGAAATTTAAAACATAATCTGATGATCTTCTCAGAAGGGTAAAACCAATAAAATAATGTAAAATGCAAATTGTATATAACTAACAAGTAAAACAGCTACTTAGAATTATTACTGACATTATAGAGCCATTTTTGATAAACAAGAGGAAATAGTTCTTTTATCGGGGGAAACTGGGATTTTGGTATGCGTTTATGCCTGAAACAGATTTCTGCCTTTCGGATACAAAACTGTAAGGTATGAAAAAAAGATTATCATTTGAAATAATCATCTTTATTATTAAAAATCTGAAGAGGAACATTAGATAATCTTGTGAACAGATATTCTTTTCTTGAGACTTCCTGTGTTGAAGTTAGCAATCTCTTTACTCAAATCAATGTTGTCCTGTGTTATTGACCACTGATAAGGAAATTTAGAATAATCAAATGCTATAAATATTTTAAGGATATTAGTAGAATTGAATTCTCTTTGGATTTTAAAGAATTTTAGTACCTATCATATTTAGAATGGAACTATAGTTTTTTATATAGCAATAAGAAGGCATTATAGACACATTTGAAATATGCTATGATTTTAATATTTTCTATTACTTTAGTTCAACATTTTAACACCATGAAATACACTGTCATGCATGAATATTATCTCTTTTTCTATTTAATTTAAATCGATATTATCAGGGCTATATCAGCATTAAAATTCATTTTTAAATCACATATTAAAACCATTCATAACTAGGGAAAAGTCATAATAAGCTTTCTTACTGTTAAAATATGAAATCTGCTAGTATCAGGTCAAACTAGTAAAAACTAGTTACCTAAACTACTCAGAAACAATTTAAAGTCAGTTAGGGTATAGATTAACCACTTAGGACAAATTTCTGTTGATCTAACCATGAGTGTTTAAATTTAGCGTTATAGTCTAAATTAGATTTCAGTTCCAAGAATTAATTTATTGTTTAACTGTCTCTAAATTGATTCTAAGTATCCAACAACGTTTATTTCAAATAATATTAAACATTTTTATTTGCTGTTAGAAATAATGTTACTATGACATTTGAAATTATATGCTTTCTTATAAAAACATCTTTTGATGTTTCTCTTTATTGTATTGAGATATTCATTAAGTGAATAAATCCTTATGCATCAAAAACAGTTTCACTTTTAAAAAATGTGAATTTAGTAAAAATAACTAGTTCTTCCTAATGGAAACTATCACATTAATCTAACGCAAAACTTTTTTAGTCAGTTCTGGCTCGTCATACGCATGGGAGAAGCAAGTTCCAATGACGAGTTAACTCGTCTTGGAATTTTAAATACAAAGTTGAATGGAATCGATTTGTACTTTGAAATCCATATTGACTAATAATAACACAAATTACAAATTGCATCTTTTCGTTTTTACTGCAGATACGACGAGTTGACTCGTCATGCCAAATTCGTGCTCAGACTACGATTTTAATATGTTACCCAGTTGCTCAGTTAAAAGGTTAGATCTCGGTAATGTCAGTTTTAGATATCAATTTTTTAAACTAGCTACAATCAGTACCATCTTTGATAAAATAACTTTTATTTAGTCATATCAGATATCGACGCATTCAGTTCCCGTTGATAATGATTAGAAAACGTACAAAGAGATGGCAGCATATTCGTTTCATCTAAATTGCTGTTAAAATAGATAGTATCGTATCGTGTCAACACACTTTTCGCGCCGAGTCTACACACGATCGGCACATTCGATCGACGGTCTGCAAAAATTAATATATCTAGACCAGTCGCGAACCAGGAAGGATCGGAAATCGACGGAACACGGGGAGATCTCTGCGGTATCGGCACGGTTTTCACGTCGGCTGGAATAGCACAGGACCGACATCCGCAAAACGAGCGTTCGTCTCGGACCGATCGAGCGCTTCGATAGCGCGGCCATACGATTTACTGTCATTCGCGTGTGTGAACACCGGTCTTTAGATAGAGAGAGGTGCCTCGTCCGCGGTGAATCGTAGCACCGATAGAGGCGCACGGTTGCGTTATGTTGCCGCTAATTTGGATTTATGTTCGCATTCGCACGTCGCGGTCCCGTCGCTCGACGGCTCGCGCCGCCTCCGACAGAATCTCCGATCGAACCCCTTTTTCCACCTTGCGCAGAAAATTCTCTGAATCGTTTTGGATTGTCCCGCGATCACGACGTTATGAAAGGGGGAGAATTCTGAAGTGTAGAGTGAGATTGTGTCCGACTATTTATGCTGTAGGATATTTTCTTGGGGTTTAGGAATTTTGAACTCGTTTAGTAATTTATAACTGGTAATTGCGAGATGTTAGTTTAAAGTAGGATGAGTGATTGTATGTAGAACCGTTTTTTCTTTTTCTTCATTTATTTATTCAATGTCGCATCCTTTTCAGACGGTTACTAATGGACCGTTTATTTTGAAAGTGGTGTAAGTTTATTTAAAAAAAAAAGTGAGATACCCCGTAATTTGTGCTTAATTTAATGTTAACTTTTTATTTATAACTAGTTAGTATTTAATATCTTGAAAATGCCAATGCTTTGTTCAATTTAAAATTGTCTTAAAAATGAAATTGCGTAACTATTGATTATGAAAGTGGTGTGTCCAATTTTCATCTATCCATCTCCGACAGGTGGCGGAGTCAGTGACCACTGCTGGCTATATTTGTTTTGTTTCGCGTGTCGAAAGTTACTATTTTTGGTTACTTATTTTATTTTCCTCCTAAAATGGATAATTTTATATGAACACTAGATAATGATATAGGTAAGAAGAAATAATAAATCAATATTATTTTATGACAATTGAGAACATCAATGGGGTACATAGAATTTA